GGAACTACAAAGGAACTCCTAGGTATATATAATGTCTAACCATAGACACCTATACAAGTGCATACATTCATCTTTCTTATTATTATACGTATACATGCATGCATTCATACACGCAAAATACATATATCTACACATGCTAGCTATATATATATATACATATACATATACATACACATATACATATACATATATATATATACATGTACAAATACACACACACACACATTTATTCTCTCTTTCTCCCTCCGATCATTGAACGATGCTTCCAATTTTTTATATTATAAATAAACCCCAGCAACCTAAATTAGAAACCATTGTATGCACTGAAAAGCCTGTCGTTGGCCTGTTGATATATTTGTAACTTCTGGTATCGTTTCTAACTAGTTATAAATACCTATCTAATTATAGTTATATATACCTATATATATATATTGTTTCATGGAGCTGTGTTATGAATTACTTATTACAATGGCACCCAATATTAATCATAGGAGTCCGAAGCCGCAAATTTAAATCCTGCTCCCAAGGCCGAGCAACCAATGGATTGGCAACATGGTGAGATGGATGATATTATGAACTTCCTGCGGGCTGAAAGAGCAGCTGGGCGATACCGTCCTGTACTGTCGTTGTAGCTTTCTCTGGGTTCCAAACAAGCTGTGTATACACATACACATCCGTCTTAATGGGCGATTACCCTGTATCTACACCATACCCCAAAGGCCTGGACCTATTGACCGTTTTTGAAGACACTTTATTACACTGGGTACTCCCGAGCATCCAGAATTTCGATCCCGACACCCTAAACCCTAAACCCCTGAACCCCTAAACCCTAAACTCTAATCCCGCGTGCACTCGTATCCCACAATCGAAAGGCAATCGTAATTAGAACCGTGACTGGAACCCAGCTAGATGCTGCAGCAAACCATGATTCCCCCCACTTGTCCGGGACCATGGAAGTTTACGGGGTGCATGCTGATGTACCTCGGCTAATTCAGCCTGTCACATAGTTGGCACCTGCTGATCTGCTTGCGATGAAGACTCCAGATCCCCGCGGAATGATCCATCAGTCCTTCGGACGACAGTACGTAGAGGGTTCTGATGAAAGGTGTGGGCCCTAGTGGGGGAGCTTGCGGAATCATGTGTTGGGTGAGTTCATTACAAGTATAATTATAAGCATTTTAAGGCTTTTTCAATATATTTTGAGGGGCCGTGGTAGGCGTGACTGTAGCGTGACTTTGGCGTGATTGTGCGTGTACGTAGTACTAGAACAGTATTAGGGACCCGTGACTGTACCGTGACTCTCACGTGACTGTGGTGCCATCTGGGGATTGCTTCAAAGATCAGTATGCCGGCATAATGAGTTGCAAGCATAGCGACGTGGACTCGGGCAGCTATTTTCCTCAGACTCATCATGGATCCTTGTGATGGTCGCTGGCTTTAAACTTCATCGAAAGATCCTAGTCTCCAGAGATCTAGCATGACCAGGGTATGTGTGTTGTGATTATAAATGTAGCACTTTATACAAATATTAATTATAAATATAATGGTTTGGGCATTTCTGTCATTTACAACTTAAGTCTTAGATGGCTTCCACATCCATGGCTGCTCATCCCTGTGACATGCCTCTTACAGATAAAGTGGCGACACTCTTGGCTGCTGCTGAAGAAATGAAGAAGAGGGCTTTGAAAGGAAGCTCTTATGATCATGATCATGAGGAGCCCACGCAGCAGACCCCGAAGACCCCCACTAAGGATGTGCCGTGCAAGGTTGAGAAAAGAACTCCAGGGCCACCCGTGCGCAAGGCGTGCAAGCTGGAGCATCTGAGCCCGGCAGCTGCTCGAGAGGATGCTGCGGTTTCTGTTGTGTCTGGTTCCTCCAATCAGGGGACCCCGCACTCCAAACGTCGAAGCGGCACCCCGCACAGCAAGTCGAAGAAACGGCGCACCAGCAAAACCCCGACTCCAACAAAGGACCAAGCAGACACCGTAGCAGCGACTCAAGAAGAGCCCCCAGAAGCAACAGAAGAGCAAAATCCAGACCAGTCCGTCACCGCAGCAAATCCAGAAGAGGCCCAGAAAGCAACAACTCCAGGAAAGCGAACTCCAGACAAGGCCCTGAAAGCAGCAAGTCCAGAAGAGACCCAGAAAGCAGCAACTCCAGGAAAGCGAACTCCAGACAAGGCCGTCAAAGCAGCAAGTGCAGAAGAGACCCAGAAAGCAGCAACTCCAGGAAAGCGAACTCCAGACAAGGCCGTCAAAGCAGCAAGTGCAGAAGAGACGCAAGTGCCGACACCAGCCGATCGATATGTAGACCAGCAGCAGAACAAAGCTTCCCCCCACAGTGTTGGAAAGCGTGCCCGCAGCAGTCCTTCGAAGAGAGTGCCATCTCCCGCATGTGAGGCCAGATCCATGCATGATGTTCATGATACAATGCGAGGGGGTATGACACACACATGTACTCACATGTACACACATACAAGTTGTAATTATTATTGAGCCAATATATATATATATTTAAAAGCTCCTCGGGCAGGATGGAAAGGATTCCGACCAGAGGCGCAGCAAGTCGTCTGGACCATTGGTGAGGAGCCAGACTGTGCCTTGGATACGATTTAATTTAAATTTGAGTTCGGCAGGCTCATAGTCATCATCGCGGGTGTGGTCACGTAGCACCATCCACGATAATGGCATGTGCCATGTAGCTCGGATGTATTCGGAAGTTCAGCAAGCTTGTAGGCACAGGGTGTTGTCAGATCATGTATACGTAGCACCTTCCACACAATGTAGCTAATTGCATTGCAACCCCGAAACACCCCGAAGCCCCAAACCAGCCAACTATAATAATAAGCCCCAAAGCTGAAACCCCCAGCCCCGCAATCCCCAATGAACTACGCCAATCTTTGCAACGAAGCAATGCTTTTGAGGTTTAGTGGGTGTCCTTGCTTTTGGGAAGACCTGACCCAGGGAATTATAAGCCCTTGTGCCAAACCCCTTTCTGCAATTGCTGATCCTCCCCTGGTTCTTCTTGACTAATAATTATAATTATAATTATAATCCCAATGTATAGCATAAACTGAGCTTCTAAAGTTCAAAATTGAATCTGATGCCCTCAGCAAGGAACTGTGGGAAAGGACCTAATAACCCTAGACCTTAAACCCTAATTATATCAAAAATCCTGAACCCTCAGGTTTTTCACCCTTGGCTGCCAAGTCTGTAAGGTGCCGCTGTCTTTCTTGTTGACTGGGCTTAAAGGGTGCTAAGGGCCTAGGTAGCCTTTAGGCTTTGTAATGGTTTAGGGTTTTGGGTTTGGGGTTTGGTTTAGTCCGTCCGAGTAGTAGTAGTAGTAGTAGAAGAAGAAGTAGCTATAGTAGTAGTAGTAGTAGTAGTAGTAGTAATAGTAGTAATAGTAGCAGCAGTCGTAGTAGTGTCGAAGCAGCAGCAGTGGCAGTGTAAAAGGCATGTAGTCGTCGTAATGGTAGTAGTAGTAGTAGTAGTAGTATTACTAGCTATAGTAGTAGTAGCTATAGTAGTAGTAGTAGTAGTAGTAGTAGTAGTAGCAGCAGTAGCAGCAGCAGTAGCAGTAGCAGTAGCAGTAGCAATGGTGGTAGTTATAGTAGTAGCAGTAGTAGTAGTAGTAGTAGTAGTAGTGATAATTGTAGTTGTATATACTCACAGCAGTCGTAGTATAGTATTTCACAATAGCGCAGGAGTAGCAGTTCTATAGGTATGTCGTCGTATATTACTATATATATGTGGTTGTACTATGATACTCTTCTTCTTATTGCTATTCTATATAGTAGCCTCCTAGTCTCCCAGAATGTAATCTATAAAATAGAAATAAATTACAATAATTATGATAAGCTAGTTTTTGAAACCGGCCCCTTGATCACACCAAGTCCCATCCATGTTCTCTGAGGCATCCTCGGACCTCAGCCGCGGGTCGTGGCAGAGCAGCAACGATTCGAGGTGGGGTTGGGAAGAGGATGAGTGGTCTTCGAACTATTGGGGCCAGGGCTGGGGTTCCTGGTCCTGGGGTCCTACGTCTTGGCAGTGGGATGCTAATTGGAGCTCTGGGAATTATGATGATTCTGCACCGAAGGAACCTGCAGATGATGATGAAAGTGCAAAGGTGCATGCTATCCTTAAAAGGGGTCACACAGTGGATCAGCTTTCCACTGCAGAGTTGCAACTTGTAGTGAAGCATATCGAGCAGCAGCAGCAAGCAGACCAGAAGCGGCAGCAAGCAGACCAGCAGCAGCAGAAAGCAGACCAGAAGCAGCACAAAGAAGACAAGCAGCAGCAGCAAGCAGAGCCAGCAGCAGAGGCTGACAAGCAGGAGGGGCAGGATCAGGATGCTGAGACGAAGAAAGAAACAAAGGAGGAAAGGAAGAAGAGGCTCCATGCACGGAATATGAGATATTATCGCTCCTTGGAAAGCCACTTGATTGCAAATAATTTGGCACCTAAGCTTGTGATCATGATCAGCCTTGTGATTGACATGATTTGAGATTCAACTGCAGGCCCCAATACTCCGCGGGAGATCCGGAAAATGGCTGGCAAGGCGAAGTCCAGTGCAGATGCTCGATCGGTTATGTTCGAGGACTGGCTGCAGGGCGGCGAAAATTGGAAAAGCTCGAAGCTGCTTGCGCGTTTGCGCAGCAAGTCCTCCTCGGCAGGCAGGGGGATGAGGAAGTGGCTCTTCTGGAGCGAAATGGTCACGCGTTTCGGCGAAAGCGTGGCACAGGCGCTCAGGGAGACAAAGGAGGCCGATCCCGAACGAAGCCTCACGGAGATACGCAAATGGCCGGAGTGCGAGGCGCTTTGATGCAATTTTCTTTCATTACTTTTTTTTAATAATTATATAAAACAAATATTTAATATGTAGTACTTGTAGTTTGTATAACATTGTATCAACGAACCAACCCTAAACCCCTAATCCCCAGATCTTGCTGCTTACAATCCCCTGCTGCAGGACTATGTGCAGTACCTATGCCTTGTGGACTCCAGTGAGGAGGACTGCGACGAGGAGGAGTTTGAACAGATCCTTGAAGCCCAGGTGAGTGACTCGAGCGACACATCGGATGACTCTGGGCACAAGAAGAAGACGAAAGCAAAAAAAAAAAGCAAAGAAGGACAAGCACTCGAGCCCCAGCCCCAACAAGAAAAAGCCGAAAGCAAAAGGCAAGGCAAAGGCCGGCAAAGCAAAGGTGGGGTCTTGCATGTGTGCTCCAAACTCCCTTTTGGATCCCTAAACCCTAAACACTACTTAACCCTAGACTCCAATACTAGCTTATACTGGCATAATATAGCCGACTTACATTTCTAAATGCATAAAAACCGGAACCTCTACCCAAAAACCATTAAAGTGTACAAACAACAGCTGGAAATTTTCATTACTTGTATAATACACATATCTCATGCAACAACATAAACCACAAACCACGAAACCCGTAATTCCTACAATCCCTATAATAGTGCTCAGCCCATTATGCAGGCTGTCAGTCCGGAAGAGGCAGAATCCCAGAAGGCCCAGCAGGAGAGAAAGACCAAAGCCAACAAGGCATCGGACGTATGCTATTGTACAGATTCTACTATATATATATATATAGATATTAGTTAACCTGCTCTTGATCGCCAGGCCTTGACCAGAGCAACAGAGAAGATCAAGATTGGTACAAAGATTGATCAGGAGGTGAATGTCCAAGGGATGCCACTTGCTTACACCATCTGTCACTGTACTATATCTATTTGCTGCATGTTGAATCAACTCAGGGGCGACCACCTGCTTGAAGCCATGAAGCTTGATGTGAAAGCGCAGGCTACTTACTTGCAACTGGGTTTCGGGGGAAAGGCGATCGCGACAATGGCAGGCGCAGAAAGTGCAGGATGCCCGCGGCCAGCTCCAGCTTGCAGTGGATCGAGATGAGGCCACAAATAGCCTTGGATTAAATTTGCAGATGTTTAATTTTAGGGTTTAGGGTTGTCTTCAGGGTTTTAGGGTTTAGGGTTTTGGGTGTTGGGTTTTCAGTTTAGGATTTGGGGTTTAGTATTCTGGCTTTAATATAATTGGTGGGTTCAGCATTGTGCACCCAAGCCGAAACCTATACCCAAGCTGTAGCATAGGCAAAGCTGGAGCCCTAGAGCCACGATTAGTTTTGTTAATTCTCAGGTCAGAGGCCCTGCTACAAGCCCCGATGCAGCGTGAACTGTGCTTCGGTTCCATTCCCTCTGTATTATAATTAATTATAAACCTATATATGCCTATAAACCCTAATCCTAAACCCTAAAACCCTGAACCCTAAAACCCTAAACCCTAAACCCTAAAACCCTAAACCCTTATAAGACCCTCACTAATGATAACAATGTGGGGTAGGTGCCGACAATGATAGCTACAATACATAGTGCAGGTCGACGATCCCATGGACAACCTCATCAGCAGCCTGACTGCCATGTGTGACACGTTCGATAAAATCCACAAGGATTTCCTGAGTCGGAAAAACAAGGATGCTAATCCAGAAAAGAAGGCCAAGAAGTGATCTCAGATCTTCGACTCGTCCTAAATAATTATATTAGACCAGCATAATGTTACGTTCTATGTTGGGGTCCCCTTCATAATGAATGCAGATCCTGACGAATGGGTTCTGTGATCCACTGCTGTGGCCTGTCTGCAACAGCACCCAGAGGGTGCGACCTTTTGACATGGGCCAGGGTTAACCTTGGCTGCTAGTTTGCACATGTGCCTGCTACAGAACCGGCTCCGGAAGAACTGCATAGCTATAGTGATGTGAGAGTGCGACATTGATTTGAATGTGCATGCTGTGTATGTTTTCTAAACCCTACACCTCTAAACCCTAGCCCTAAACCCCTCCCTCAACCCTAAACCCCTAATCCCCTAAACCTCTCAACCCTAGACCCCTAAACCCTACACCTCTAAACCCTAAACCCCTCCCTCAACCTGAACGAACGGTTATAACTAGACAACTCCGAGGCCCTGATCCTTTCGAAGCTAGTCCGGACATCAATGCCAAACTTATAAATCTAAAGGGGTTGGGTTTAAGGGCTCTATATATATATACACATACATACATGTTTATAATTATGCCAAAAATATGTATATGTATGTATATATATATATATGAATGGGAGTCGTTGTATGTATGGGTCCGTATAATATCAGTGCCAGGTTCCAGGTCTTGTCGAGGGAATCATTACAACAATGTTGTTGTTTTTGGCAACACCAGATCCGAAAGCCTAGGCTACCCCTAAACCCTACACCCCAAACCCCTAAACCCCTAAACCCTAAGCCCTAAACCCTAAACCCCTTTATAAACCCTAAACCCTACACTGGAGACGTAAAGGGAAGCCCAAAAAACGGTGAACTTCAGATCCTCCTGGCTCGACTCATGCTCCTCAAGTTTGGGCTTAGGGGTTTGGGGGTTTAGGGCCTAAAGGTTAGGGGGTTTAGGGGTTTTGGGGGTTTTGGGGTTTTGGTAGGGGGTTAGCCCTAAAACTTAAACCCTTCATGCCCAACCTCATTGAAAACCTCGAAACCCTCAACCCCTAAATGTGAACCCTTATCCAAGGTCGGATATCCGAACCCATAATCCCTATAATGCCAGGGCCCCTCAAAGTGCCGAGAGCCAGCAGCATTAAAGGGCAGCTGCAGGGGCTGCCGCACGTGTGAGGTAGTGCACATACCTTGGATAAGGTCCCGTTATTATGGTTATATCTGTACTGCACCTAACATATATTCAATTTATGTGTGTATCTAAAGCGGTGTGTGTGGGGGATGGATGGAGCCTGCAGCATAGCTGTAGCTGCTCGTAGCTGCTGTTGAGTGCCATGTGCCTTTAAAGCTTTTAGATGGGTCTCTCAAGGATAGGCCATACAGGGTGGTCACATGTCGGCTATTCGATGTGTCATGCCGGCTGTCGTGCCTGTGATCAGCAGTGGCAACTGGTGTGAAAAGAACGATCTGCGCATGTGACTTTGCTTCCGGTGCAGGAATATGCTCTTTCACTCATGTTGGTTGCAGCTGCAGTATTGCAATCCCTAGCAGCTAGATATTTATTCTATGGCTAGAATCGATTTCGCCTGACATTTGTATATTTTTTAACATCCCACATGAAGCCCATAGCCGTGCAAACCCCAATGCGATCCCGCACTGCAATCATTAGCGACGCATGTCTTTCAATAGTATATACTCAAGGTACCCCAAAACACTTAGACTAGGTCTCAGCCTCAAGCAACCCAGGCTCTACACCCAATCGTGAAGCCAATTGGATTCGATACCCCCTGGATGCAGAAGCTACGTCTCCGACCTATGCCAGGATCCGATAGTGATGAAGGTGGTGATACTGCCAGTGGTCTATTGCAGAATATCCTGGAGCGAGTCTCCAATGGTGACTCCTGGCAAGAAAATTATACAACCGATGTCAATCGTACCAGGGTTCCGTTTGTCCACTTGTCGTTGCAGACGAAGTGCGGGGATTCAAGAAGCTGGCAGCACGGTCATCTGTGCTGCATCCTCAGGCTGAGACGGTGGGATCTGCTATGCAAAATGCCCGGGCAAGCTACGAGGAACCGAGGGGAAGGGTCTAGCATGCTGTGTTAAATTGATCATAACTCGACTGAAGCTCCGATTGGCATTCATTGGGTCGGGGCTCGAATTCCAATCTCTTTGTGCAGGAGTCTGGCAGGCACTTCAAGGGCAAGATTATGTCTGGATTGATGACATACAAACCTGGCAATGATGCGCGGGACTTCTTCAGGAAAGTGAAGCTGCCTCTTGAACCCTGGGCTGGAGACATGTTTTTTTTTGGTTTAGGGTTTATAGGGTTTAGGGTTTTAAAGGGCTTATTATAGTTTAGGGTTTAGGGTCAACCCGGGTATATATACAATGATTTCTAATACCTAGGATCCGCTTTAAAGTTTGTACTTTCATACATAATTTTAATAATATTCTAACTACCCTATGTAGGGGACAATATATGCTCAAGGTACCAACGGATGTTCCAGTCACGATCTACGAAGGGTTTGAAGGAGATCGGACGAAAGGCCGAACTACAGTTCCTGTGCTCGACCCACACGAGGTTTTGGATTATTTGCAGACTGAGCTGAAGCTTGAATGTCCCCCAGACAAAGCTCGTGCATACTGGAAACACCTGCGAGATCATGGCACCTCCTTTGCACAGGCTTTTCCTGGCTCTGATAGCCATGTGCCCTTTACTATTTATGGGGATGAGCTAACGCTGGGGAAAGATCCGAAGGACAAAGTAACAGGCATTTTTTTGCAGTTAACTTTGTTTAAGCCGATGGCTGCCCGTCAGGGCATGTGGCTCCTCTGTGCGATTCAGGATGCTTGCATGGTCCACGAGAACATGGAGACTTTGCACCCGATCCTTGAACATATCGTCTGGAGTTGCAACCAGGCTTTTGCAGGGCGGTATCCTCATGTGTCTTCGGATGGATCCCCCCTGCTAGGAGCGAAAGCTCAGAAGGCTGGCAAGGCTTTTTTTAATGGTGCTCATTGGGCGTGTGCTGAGCTACGTGGTGACTGGAAATGGCATGAGCGTACACTGAGATTGTTGAGGACCGCTGTTTCGAGGAAGTGTTGCTTCCTCTGCCATGGTGAAGCAACCGATGGTCCTCTATGCTACTATGATCTGTCACCCACGGCTGCTTGGCGAAATGCACAGCTGAACACGGCTGACTTTCTGCAGTATGCTGTTCGGCCTGGACCCGTGAGTATCGTGGCATTCGATTTATTTATCGAAGCTTGGAAGTTACCCTAGCCTTGAATGATTAAAATTTGTGTCACTTTCAATTCAAGCCGAAACCACAAGCCCAAACCACAACTTATACCCTAAACCCTTTATAAGCCCTTAAACCCTAAACCATAAACCCTAAACCCAAAACTCTAAACACTATATAACCCTAAACCTTGCCACTTCCCAAAAGGCCCTCTGACTCGTCTGACGGGCTTCGACATAGCCGTCGTGAAGTTCTGCAGCGTGCACGTCTGCAACTTGGGCCTGGTGCACACAGCTTCTGGTGGTGCACTGCGCCCAAGCTGATCTATTTAATTTAATATATATATATATATAATCATATATATTCGAGTATACGACATCGAGATATATATGGTACTCATCTTCTTACCGAGGTAAAGCTTCTTGAATTTGAGTGTGTTTTTTGTAAAATCAATATAGTGAAAGGATCTAATGAGTCGCCTGCCTGTACGTGCTACACCCAAGGGAAGCTCTGCTACGTGAGGGCCACTTCGGGCCTTATAATGGGCCTGAGTCTATGAAAGCATTGCTCGAGACTGCATATACGGAGTTCCAGCAATGGCGCAAGGCAAACAAAATTGCTTGCTCCCAGAGGTCCTTCGCGCCACGGCATCTGCTGAAACAGGTTCATGGATACTACTTGACAACGAAGGCTTATAATGCCAGGGTCGTTATGTTGTGGTTATCCAGCAAGCTGCAAGACGTTGCCCAGCATGCAGCTGCGACTCCGAGCATTCGCTTGCATGCCACGGCTCTGCAGCTCTGCTGTTTTCTTTACCCAAACCCTCAAAAGGAATGTGGCAAGAATCAGAAATTTTAAATGTGTGTCAATCAATCATAATCCGCCTTTCATCGATTCAAGGGAGCCCTGGCTTATAATAGCATCTATTTTATAAATCCGGAGCTGAGGACTGCCTTCTCCAAGTGGTTCAGCTGCTGCGAGGCGGCCAAGCGCTACTTGCAGCTTCCATGGCAGTCATTACATAATAGCTAAGATGTTCTGTGTGAATTTGTCGGCATGGTGTTCATGATCATTCCTGTGCTGAGTGCTGAGGACACCGGCCCAGAGTGAAGAAATTTATGGACATGGAATGCTGTTTCTCAGATGCCATCTGCGACTGACTCAAGTGTCGCATCGGTTCCTAGCCTACAATTCTTCTCTTTTTTTTCATCCTATGGATATGGCAATTAATGGGTTTTACATAATCGGGATAATATTATAATTACAATTGTATATAGGGTTGTTATCCAAGTATACCCGGGCATTCGGCTGAGGCAGAAGATCTTGGCATGGGTGCTGAAACCAAAATTTCACGCCCCTTGACTTGATTCGAACCGGCTGTTACATGATATATACATATATTTTTTTGTTTTGGGATACTACAAATAATAATGCAATTGGGGAAACAGCTACCTATAGCGAGGCCATGCTCCACCTTCCGGAGCAAAGCCGGAAGTGGCGATTCCTGCTTCGAACTCTGAACAGTTTTTTTCTTATCCTAAACTTATAATAAAAGGACCGGAGCTTTATAAACCCACACTGGACCCTGAGGCTACAACACGCGGTATACTCATTGCTTCGCTGGCGAGGATGCAATGGGATGGCTGAAGAGAAACCTGGTTGCCCTTTTAATAATACTTTGTTTGGAATGCAATGATATTTGTTCTAGTTTTAAGTTGAATTCAATGCTTGTCATCATGAGCATCAGAATATGCCAGGGGTGAGTCTCAAAGCTCCGCGAAAG